GGCTTCCCCGGGAGGTGGGTGAGGCCCCATTGGTGTGGGTGTTCAAGGACAGGCTGGACGTGCACATGGTGGGCATGTCGTGAGTGGAGCCGGCTAGAGCTGGAGGCCAGACTAGGTGGCCCGGGAGCCCCTTCTGACTCGCTCTGTTTCTGTGTTTAGCATTTGCCTATTTCTATTAATGTTGCAAATATTCAGGTCCTTTAATGTTGCAGTCCCGGTTTTGGGAACTGAATAGCAACAACAGGACTTATCCCAAGGGCCTGCACGCTGACCCTTGCGGCCTGCAAGCACAGAAGCTCGCCTCGCCTCGCCTCGCCTGCCTCATCCTGGCGCTTGCTGACAACTTAATGCCCCCCTGGGCAGAGACAGTCTAAGCCAAAGGTGCTGGGAAGAGACAATGGGGGGGGGGGTTGTTCCCATCCTGTTCGTGGGCACGGCAGAACTGCACCCCTCCTTGCTGCCATCACTGAAAGCCAACTTTCCCCAACTAGGCGCCCTCCAGGTATGTTGGACTGCACCTCCCATTGTGGCTGTGCTGGCTGGGGATGATGGAGCTGTCATCTGGCGCATCTGGAGGCCCCCCTCACCCAGCCAGGCAAAGCGGAGAGGGCTGCCTGCCCGGCCGGGCTTCGTCCCTGCCCCCCCCGCCAGCTGTGTCGGGCCAGCCCCCCCGCAGCCAGGGCTGCATAATCTGAAGAACACATGGCGGGCCTTCGGGCCAAGCCAAACAAAGGGGCCTGCGAGCGAAGTGTCTCATTCCAGAGGAAGAACAGTCCTCTGGCAGGCCAGGGAAGCGGCAGCTAGGCCTCCCAGGGGGGCTGCGCACGGGCGGGAGCGCACCCCGGCAGCGGTGCTAATGAGCCGCGTGCAGGACCCGCGGACGATGGTTTCAGGGGGCTTCTGCGAGGGAGGGGCGATCAGGTGGCATGGCTGGACGCTGCCACTGGCCCTCTGCCTGTGCTGGCTATTCTGAGGCCGTGGCTCAGTAGGGCTGGGGGCGGAATCGGCCTTTCCCACCCTCGGGGGGGGGGGCCGTTCCACAAGGGAGGCCAAGGGCTGACCCCGCCCCCAACCCCCCAGGCCCTGCAGCGCATTCCACTTGATGCCTGTTCTGTTCTTCTTGTTCTTGGGGGTGGGGTGGCAGTGGTGGCAAACAATTCACATAAACAAGCCAGCGAACTCACTCAAATGCATTAGAAGAGCATCCAGCCAGAGCTGTGCGTACTGGACAATTTTGCCCCGCGTAGGTTCTTTGGTGTGTTGAAAATTCTCGGCGTAATTATTTTGGCAATATTTACCACTGTGCCGGTCCCTGAGGGAATGGAGGGTGGCAGTCTGCATGTGGCGTGGGTGCTCATGCCCACCCATCATGGACTAAGTTGGGGCCAGGGTCTTCCTAGCTGGCGGGGGGGCATGCTCCTAGGTCAGCACCAAGTTCAGGCTTAATAAGATCTCAGCTTGGGGTACCCCCACCTGACAGGGATCGGTTGCAGAACACTGAAATACCAGCTGCCACATCAGTAGCCAAGTGTGATCTGTTCCAAAAATATAACAAGCTTTTACATTTTTTTTGTTTATATTACTTACTTTACACTGCATTTTTGGACTTCTGCATTTTATCTTGCGTCCTCCTTTATGGCTTAATTATTGCTATTGGGCAGTACAGAAACTGGGCAAGTCAGGGAGCTCTCAGGAAGGGCTGCCTTTCAGCGCAAACCAAAGGCACCTTCTCTGGAATGTAATTTGGGGCCACACTAAGTGCATCACATGCAGCTGCAAGCCGTTGAAAAAACAAAAACCTCCATGCAGTGAGATCTGGACCATGGCGCTGAACCCCTCCTGCCCCTTGGGCCTCCAAGGGATCGCTCCCCGGTGCTCCCCAGAGTGTGCCAAATGGGGAGATCTGTGCTGGGTCTGCGGAGTGGAGAACAGCCCACTCCCCTTGCTGTCTATGCCCTGACGCAAACCTGACCGCTGCTCTGCAGGACAGAAAAACCCATGCGACGATGCTCGAGTGGTCTGGCATCGTGCGTGGCTTGACTGCTCCAGGACAACTTCTCCTCCAGCTGACACTGGGGGCGACGCCAAGCTCAGCCAGCAGCCAAGGGCGAGCGAGATGCCGCCTGCAGGGGTTCCCCTCGCCCGCCCCGGCCTGAACGGTCGCACACGCACCGCGGAACAGAGCATGTGTGGCTCCTGCGCAGACCAGGCGAGCGTGTGATGGGCCGTGGCCTTGGACCCACTTGGACAGCTCGGCTGCTCGTGCTCTGCTAACCTCGCATCTGGATTTGCGTAACCCGTGAAGGCAGCCCGGACACATCGCCGCCTGTGCAGCAGGCCCTTCCTCTGCCGGACGGCTTCGAAGCGCTTTAGAGCCTCAAGCAGCTGGGCGCAGTTCCCGGGTGGCTCTCTCCTCCCGTCCACCATTGATTGAACTTCTATCCCACCAGTTTCCTTCCAAGGAACTCAGGATAGCTTACATAATCCTCCTCTTCCTCTCCACACCGACAGCCTTGTGAGGTAGGCTAGGCTGAGAGTCTGTGACTGGCCCAAAGACTGCCTGTGCACCCCATGGCTGGGCGGGGACTTGAACCCGGATCTCCCAGGCCTCAGTCCTGTGCTCTTACCCACTGCTCCACGCTGGCGCTCCTTCACCCGGTGTGAAGACCTGCCGTCCAGGTGCCCCTGCCAAGGAAGGTGGGGGGGTGGCCGCTTCCCCAGACAGGCTCACCTGGAGCCTTTGCCGCAGCCCTCTGCCTCCGGGCGAAGACCTGTCCACCCCCGCCAGGCGGGCCGCTCAGGCGAGAGAGGGCCCACGACGCCCAGCGGGCCGGCCGGCCGGACGCTTTTCTGCCTGGAGCCCCTCTGGCTCGCCCGCCGGGGGCCCCACCTGTGCTTCTGGCCCCCGCGCACCCCCGCCGCAGGTCTTACACGCTGGAATAGTTCTACTCTTTGCTGTTGATTTCATCCTGGCTACGTGATGCGCTGCTGTCATTGTTTTATGGCCCACATAGTGCATCGTGCACCACCAGAGGCTTGGTGTGCTTTAAAAGAACATTAAGTTAATTAACTTAAACGAACATAAACATTAGTAACGTAAACCAGTGAGTGGCTTGAAACGGGATTGGCCAAATTCATGGGGGAGGGGGGATGCCGGAGGTCTCTCAGCTGGTGCGAGCCCGGGCAACTAATGGGAACCGCGGGTGTCCTAGAAAACGCTTGGATTTACTGCCAAGGGGGCACCTGAGAGTAGGCGCCGTGGACCCCGTGGTGGGATCCTGCACAAAGGCTTTTTTCCGTGTGCCAGGGCAGAGGGCCGGGAAAGAGGCAATGTTCCGAGTGGGGAGGTGGAGCGCCTTTCCAAGGCTCTGCGTGCCTCTGCCGCCGTGCAGAGCGCTCGGATCGTCCTCCACACCCCCGGCAGCAGGAGCAGCCTGCTCAGCCCACTTCTGGGAATTGACAGCGGCGGAGGGCAGCGCTCTTGCCACCCTGTTTATACAGAGCCTCCCAGCAGCAGCAAGCGCCAGGAAATCACACACACACCGGCCCATTCAGCCAGCGCCTCTGCTCCACAGAAGGAGCCTCTCTTCTCCGAAGGAGCCTGCTTCTGCAAACACAGCAGCTGTCACTGTTTCGCTGGGGAAATGGCTCCACTCCGCGGAGTCGCACTCCTTGGGCTTAGGGATGGGCCCCCACACTTCCCCACCCTGTTGGGGTGTGGCGGGAGAGGCTGGGCTGGGAAGTGCTGCCCCAGAGGGGACTCATCTGGAGTCGGGCCTCCCCTGGCGCTGCATGAACTCCGCCTCAAGTACAGTTTCTGGAGTGAGGACCGCCGGGGCCTGGGGCTGGGGGAGGCCCGCTAGCCCCCGGAAGTCTCCTGCTATCTCCCCCGCTCCTCTGCAGTCTTGTGCTGCGTGTTTTCTCCCTGTTTCTCCATCCCCGAAGGAGCCAGGCACCCCGGCTGGCCGGGCCTCGCGGGGGGAATGCAGGGAAATCCTGGTACCATGCAGCCCCTTTGCTTTTGCTCCATGATGTCATGGAGGAGCAGGACAGCTTTTGCCTTCACCCCGCATGGATTTCGAGGAGGACAGATCCGAGCGCACCATTAAAGTCCTGCGTGTTTGCGACCAGAACCCCGAACCTTTGAACTGGATGCTTCGCCCATCCATCTCACTCACCGGCACCTTGGGTGCCATGCAGTCTGCTGACAACCTGCAGCGGGTGGCCAGAGTCCCCACTGGGGCCCCCCGAGCGCTGCTGCCATCGCACCGACTGGCTGAGGCGAGAGAAGGGCCTTCCAGTCCAGGCTGCGGCTCCCACCGCGGCCGGCCGGACACCCCTCGCAGAGCCGGCAGGTGGGGCGGAGCACAAGAGCGCCCCCTGTGGGGCTGCCAGCGAATGGCACAGGGGGTGCGGGGGCCGCAGTGCTCTGGGTCGTGCAGTCTGGAGGGCCGCGAATATGGTGCCCCCCGTGCTTCGGCTCCCCAGCGCGCTGCTCCCGCCCCTCCTGCCGGCACCTGCTCCCTGGCCCTCTCAGCGCCCGTCTTCCCTGCAGACAGCGGCACCTTCGCCTCCTGCTTTTTTCTTCGACTTGCAGAAGAGGCAGGGTGAGCTGCAGAGGAAGAGGCTGTGCCCCCGGAGCCTTCGCCTCTCCGGACGATTCCTAGCCCGCCCCACAAGGGCCTGGAGGCGGACCAGCCCTGGGGAGACCCGAGATGCCAGCTGCAGCTGCTTGCCTCCGCACCCTGCGCTTCTCTGAGCCAAGACAGCATGAGAGAGCGCTGCGTGACGAAGGCAGGGGGAGCAGAGTGTGTGGGGGGGAACCTGGGGGGGAGCCCCAGAGCAAGGGGGCGGGCGCATCTTGCCTGCTGTCCCTCCGTGTGGCAGCACCCACTGCGGCCCAACCCAGGCTCCCCGAACGTGTCTGCCCCCCGTGAGACTGGCCACGCGACTGTCAGCAGGTGGAACCGCGGCCGGGCAGGTGAGGTGCTCTTGCTTACCTACAACCTTTGGCAGCTTCTGGCGGTGGAGCGGAATCCGAGGCAGCTTCATGCTGATCCGGCTGAACCTGCCGCAGAGGCATTTGGGGGGCTTCTCATGGGCCGGGGTCTGGCTCGGGCTGCAAAACAAGTCCGGCGGCCTGTGAAGATGCCGCATGAGGGGCGGCTCGGCATGGCTGCGGCACGTGTGTGGGGCCACTCTGCCTCGTGACACTGGGGTGCGCAGGGTACAAGGTGCCGGAATGGACAGCACTCCTTGCAGCCACAGGAAGGGGAAACGCGGCCCGCCTGGCTCCCCGGCTGCACAGCCCCCGGGCTGGCCACGGGCGGGAAGCATCTCATGTGGGCCTTTTGCTCCTCCATGGAAAAGCATGAGGCCTGGCCCCACCCCTCGTGCTGCTGGGCCTTCTGCCCCCCCTCCCAGGCCCGTCTGGCCCTCGCGCCTCCTCCCCCAAGCACAAGATCCCACCCTCCCTCCCAGCTGGGCACCCAGCATCCCCAACCCAGTTTCTGGTCCGGCACCCCCTCCCTGCCCCCCTCTGTCGCTGCACCGAGCCACCTGCTGAAAATCTGCCTCTTTCGGCACCCGGGCAGCCACCCTCAGGAGCCTAGCCCAGGAGGCTGCAAAGGGGCTCGCGGCTCCTCCGGAGGTCCATGCACGGCAGCTTCTTACAGCACAAGGGGGCGCGCATGGCCACTCCTGCCCCATGCTGCAGGAATGTGGGTGGAAACGCACGGTCCCTCAAGCACGTCTGCCTGTGCCCTTCGGAGGCGTCCCCGGAACGGCTCCTGCAGCTCCCTCCCCGTAAGAAGAGCCTCGGGAACTGTAGGCCAGCCTTCCTCTGCTTTCTGAGTCCCCAGACGTGCTCCTTCCACCCGCTCTGACTCCCTACTTCGTCCCCCTCACCTCTCCCCACTCCGCCATACCTCTTGTGCGCTCTCGTGAACAGCCAGGCTCCCTCACGGTGGCCATTTTGCGGTGGCGCCCATGGCATGCCCCCTGGGGCCCAAGCGTGTCCGCAGCGTTCCCTGCCCACTTGTCGCCACTCTCCAGGAGCAGATCCGGCCCCTCCCCACGGCCGGCAACCCTGGAGCCTTCGCCCAGGAAGGGCAGGGCCCAGGCACCCCCCCCCGGTCCGCGCGGCCCCCGCACTTACTCCCGCGCTCGGTCCTTCTTGCGGCAAATGCAGCAGCAGCTCAGGAGGGAGAGGAGCAGGATGAGCAGGAAGGCCAGCAGAGCGACTGCCCCGACGACCCCCATCCGCTGGTTGGCCTCTGGAGAGGAACCGAGCGCCCCGTCAGCCTCCGCCAGCACCAGACCCACGCTGCTGGGGGGGAGCGGGCCCCCGAGGGTGGTGCCCCCCGAGCCGTGCTCCCCGGGGGAACTCACCCATGTGGCAGGTCCCGGTCAGGGGGTTGCACGAATCCTCGCGGCAGTTGCAGGACTCCTCGCAGTTCACGCCGTAGTGGCCGACAGGGCAGGTCAGGTTGCACCTGCAGGAGGGAGAGCGAGGTGAGCGGGGCGAGGCGCTCGGGCAGGTCTGGCGTGGCCTCGCGCGGCTCTCCCAGGCATGCCGGGCCTCTCTCCGCAGCAGCCACTTCTGTTTAGAAACCGCTTTGCTTGGGAAAAAAGCGCCCAAAGTGGCTCACAGCATAAAGGACTGACATGCAAAATGCTCACAGTTAATCGCTTAAAAGCAGACCAGAAAAAGTCTCTGTTGGAAGCACTGAAAACAAGCAAATGCCCCGCACATGTTCAAATCAGAGAAGACTCCGCAGGTGGCACAATCCCCAGACGCGGCAGAAAGTGCCCTTCTGGGTGCACAATCCGCGGGCTGCCTGCATGGACCGCGGGAAGGATCCTGCACCCGCGCAGTGTGGCCAGTCCTTGCGCCAAGTGGCTGCCAAGAGGGAGGGTGGAGTGCCTCCACCAGGCCTGCGCATCCCGGGAGCTGGGGGGTGCCGGCTGCGAGGGCCAAGGCTAGCGAGGAAGCAAGCCTGTGGCCACGTGCCCCCAGGCGAGTGGAACAAGGCGAGTGGCTCGCGGAGGAAGCGTGCAGCCTCCCTCCTAGATGGGACCCCTTTCGGGGAGCTCATCCTGCACGAGGTGTCTGTGAAGAGCTTTGCTGCCAGCCTCACCACGAGGGGCGCGCTCTGCCCCCGTTGCCAGCCAGGGTTCCGACTCCCTTCCTCGAGAGGAGAGGGCACACACCTCCAAGATCCAGGAGTGGCTGCGGCTGCAAAGCGCCGGGGATGCCCGCTCCCCTCAGGGCTCCCCGTCCCAGAAAGGCCCTCGGCCAGGCTGCTTGCACCCCAGCGGAGCTCGGTTCTGTATTCAAACAAGGCGGGTCTTCCCTGCACGCAGCTTTTCGGCAGCTAGCAAAAATGCAGCTTTTTGCTAGCTGCCAAGCTGGTGCCGAAAGTTGGCTGCAGCTCAGTGGTAGCAATTTTGGAGGTCATGTGAGCGTGTGGGTCCTGGCGAGCTCCAAGGGGCAGAAATGGGGGGCTCCCAAACCTCCAAATTTGACCTCTTGCCTCAGCAGCCCTTTGGTGATTTCACATCATTCAGCAACGTCCGGAAAGCATGAGCCTGCCCCACTGCTCACCCTGTGGAAGTGGTTCCTCACAGCGCGCCGCAAGGCCAGCAGCCGCATCAGTGGGGCAGGAGCTGGGCGGCCTCTTTGGGCCGGAGGGCGCTCTTGGCAAGCCTTGCAGGTGGCGATGCAGCCGTCTGCCAGCGACCGTCTCCTCCTCCAAGAGGCTGCTCTGCACAGCTGAAGAACCACCGCGGGCAGCAGCAGGTGCCTTGCTGGGCAGGGTGCGCACATGTTGCGCTTGTCGACAAACCCCGAGTGGATCCCCCCCCCCCCGTGCAGCCCTTGGCCCTGGAACTGCAGGGCTTTCCACGGGAGATGTGGAAGTGCAGCGTCCGCTGTCAGCAGGCTGGAAAGACGTGACAGGCGGGAGCAAGCAGAGCGAGCTTCTGCAGAGCTGCCTCCGAGTCCTGCTTACCATGCGATCCTGCGCGTGCCTCCTGGGCGCATTTTCCCCAGCATCATACCGACTTTTTAATTCCACCAGCAAAAATGGGTTTTGGCTGAGCACGGAGCCACTGATGCACCGCTGCCTTCACATCATCATCCCATGGAGATCCTCTCCCCTTGAAGCTTCTTTGAGTGGTCCAGAAAGGTCCGGACTATATGCTGGGTATTCCATAACCGCCCACCTCAATTGTCTGAGGGTTTCCAATGTGTGGTCTGCGCCGTGGGGGCAGGAGTTGTCATACAACAACACAATTCCCTTTGACAGATCTCCTCTTCTTTTAGGGCAGGTTGCGGGTTTGAGTTCTTTCTAAAGCGTGTCCCAATACGTTGCGCCTGTGACCGTTGTGCCAGGCTCCCGAGAGCAGGCCCTCGAGAGTCCCCGCAGACGGGTGGCACCGACTTTCCTGCCAACACTGCAGCTGGAATTTCCTTGCGGCAGGAGAGGCCAGATGCTTCCACTGCACACTCTGCCGCTTGCTTTCGGGCGCGTGATGGTGAACCCACCTTTCAGCACCAGTGACCGTCCGCTGCAGGAAACTGCCACCTTCTTCATGGCAACAGGCCAAGTGCCGGGAACACACGTCCAAGCGCTTGTGCTTATGCTCCCCCGTCAGTTGCTTGGGCCCCCACCTGGCACACACTTCGCTGCACGGGGCCGGGCAATCCAACACGCACATTCCACTTCCCTGCAACCTCTTCAGCTGTTACTCTTCTGTTCCAGGGCCCTTTCTTCATCCCTCATGGTCGTGGCTGCAGCTGGACATCCGGAGCACTCTGCATCCGTCACACTAATCCAGCCGCTTTTGGAGCTTTCCACCCACTCACGAACGACTCTTTGAGAGAGAACTTTCTCAACGTGCTGAGCACACGCGGAGATGAACCGGCGCCCCCGGCACACCTTCTGCCCACAAAAAGCATATGCAGAACACTGCTCCTCTCTAGCTCAATTCATAAGTTTCGCAGGCATCTGGCCACAGCGTGACAACTTTCGCGAATCTGCCAGGGCAGCCGGCTTGCCAGACAGACTAGTCCCATGACACCCTCAGACGCAGCCAGTCACTGCACCTCCCGCCCTCACTGTCGCCAAGGAAAATATAAAAGTGCAGAACCTTTTTGAAGACCCCTCGTAGTAACTAAAAGAAAAACAAGGTTCATCTAAAACACGTACCAATCCCCAAAATGGAGGGAAGGCAAAGAGAAACCTGCTAAAATTACTCTTTCCTCAGCTTTTAGAAGCAAAACGTAAACAAATTACAGAGAATAATCCTGCATCGACTCCTGCTTGTGTCCTCCTAGCTTCCTTCCCCTTCTCCCGAACTGCCCCATCTTTGCAACGAACAGCCTGTGCTTCGCAGTTCTTGGTCATGGGCGACTCTTCAGGGAGATGGCTGGGTTCCCCGAACGCTTCTCAAATCCAGAGCCTCGCAGGGCAGGGGAGCATTGATTGTGTACTGCACAACCTCAGCCTGCCTGCTTCTTCTCTGATTGCCAGAACAACAAAGCCCACAGAAAGAGCTTGGCAAGCTGTCGGATTCACGCCAACCGATACTGCTCCTTTTCTACGGGGGAAGCCCTAACGGTGACGGGCAGAATCCTGCACATGTCCAGGTGTGTGTGTGAGTGCGCATGAGAGTGCAAAGAGTCAACAGCTGGAGAAGTAAAGGTGAGCGCCGGGCAACACTTGGTTCCCTTGCACGTAAAGGAAAGTTTCAGTACAACCCGTGTGGCACCTCCATTCTCCCCTCCACCCCCCCTTTCCTTCACACGCACTATCACTCAGCCTTGCACGGGGTTTCTCTACTTTCCCTCAACTCCTTTGAGCTTGACAGGAAAAGGCACGTTTAAGGTGGCGAAGACTCCGCCAGGCAGGCTTCCCACAGACTTCATTCCCACTCAAGGCTCAAGCAGTGACCAACTCGCCACACCAGCCCGGCCGGTTTCCTCGTCCTTCTTTCTTACATCATTGCTCCGCCAGGGAAGGGGCTCTGGCTGGCTCCTTGGGCAATCTTCCATCAGGGCAGTGCGTTTCCGCTGCTGCAGGACTGCCCTTCGAGAGCTCAGTCCCCTTGCCTCGAGCTGGACTCCTTTCACAGGGTTTGCTGACCGAGGGATGCAAAGATGCTTGCGATGAAGCCTCAGTCCCCTGAGCAACAGCAAGCATTATGATTTTTAATTATTACTAATTATTATTCCAATTATGATTGTTATAACTCACCTACTCCCCGTGTTGAGACTCAAGGTGGCTTGCAACATTAAAAATGTACACTATTATAACATCATAGCAACAAACAAAAGTGTAAACTGTAATTAAGCCAATAAAGGACTGAAATGGTAAAAAATACATAACCATCATGCCAGTCTCTCTCCAGCAGTGAGCTCAGGTTTACACTCATGCCTTTGTTTGCACAAGCAGAAGCACACACACAGAGTGTTGCTTTCTCCTGGCAAACCCCTTCCCCAAAACTCGCCTGCACCTTCATCCTGGGCTCCAGCCCAAGACGCCCCACGAGGCCCCCAGCTGCTGCTGCAGCAGGTGCCTCTTCCCGGGGGCCGGCTTCCGTGGCCCGGCCGCCTAGGGCTGCTCCGTCCTGATGCTGCCGCAGGGCATGTGGAAACAAGTGAGCAGAGAGGGGAAGAGGCATCACCGCGGACCTTGGCCTGGCACACCTGATTCTCCTCCTCTGCACATTTCTGTGTGCAGCATGAGAAAGAAGAAAAGTAGAAGCAGCAGAGGGAAAATGCAGGAGGGCTACAAGTGAAGAATGGGGTCACCTGGACCCCCCGCAAAATGTGGTGGACTATGAACAAGCTGGGAAGCCTGCCGAAGAAGGCCGCGCCACCCAGGTGCCAGGTGAGCCTCTCTGGAGATGCTGCATTTGTGCCGTGCCGAAATACACTTCTGAGGGAGTCAGAGTGCAGCGTGTCTTGCAGCACAGCTCAGCATTTTCCAAGACTGGTGGGCACTTCCCATTTCACAGTTACTGTTTTTGATTTCACATGGAGACATATACGTATTCCAATGACATGCACGCTTTCTTCCACATCTCTGCTAGGGATAATCTCCAAGAAAACGTTACTTACGGCTTTGCCAAGCTTGCCTCATATTGTATTTGTAATTGGCATCCATTCATTGTTACTAATGAATGTACGAGATGAAAAATTTGCTGTGAAAAATAAAGTCCTGGGAAGTTGTCCAGTTTGGAATCTGCCGCGTCCCACACCAGCGATTCTGGCAGGCCTTAAACGCAGCTTCAGTCAATTCACTGCACCGCACAAGGATCGGAGCTCACCCCGTCTCTGGTTAAGAATGAGGCGATATTTCCTCTGATAAGTTCAGGAATCGTCATGCCTCTTGAGCACCCAAAGCTTCTGCCTGGGCACAGGGCCCGGCCTCCCCATGCCACGTGCCAGTCGGTTTGGAGAACACGAACTCCCCAGCTGCTTGCGGCA